ACTTTATCCTGCTTCTTTGTGATGGTCTGTTGTCTCCGAGGCATCATGGTGTTGTTGTATTAATATCTCTGTTAACTGTTTGTGAAGAGCAGCCAAGGGTGATTCAGGCTCTTCTTGATGGTTTTTTATCATTGGCCCGTTGGTGAAGAAGGAGGTAGTGGCACTCACTCAGTAAGTGAAGTTGCAGGAGGTGTGGTTGTAGTTGTGTCTTATGGGGGCTGTTGTTGTCTCCTACTCAATCAGACACAAATTACAATCAAATAACCTTCAAAAAACTTGTGAGTCTTGCAGGTCCTGAGTGTCCTTGGGGTTGCTGGAAAGCAGAACGTGTTCTTAAGCCCCAGGAATCTGCGAGAGTGCTGTCTCTTTAAATATCCAAGATAGTCAATCCACTTTTTAAACCTTCAAAATGGCGGCGTCCTCTGGACCAGCAAAAGTCCACAGCTCAGCCCACCCTTCTCTTCACCTTCTTTGCCTGTTCCCAGCCACTGTGCACAGTCCTCTGTGCAATCCCTGGCTAGCAGGGTGACCCCTAGGTCAATTCTTAAGTCCTGCCACCCCAGGAATCTGTGAGAGCGCTGTCTCTTTAAATATCCAAAATAGTCAAGCCGCTTTTTAAACCTACAAAATGGTGGCACCCTCCGGACCAGCAAAAGTCCACAGCTCAGCCCACCTTTCTCTTCACCTTCTCTGTTTGTTCCCCAGCCACTGTGCACAGTCCTCCATGCAGTCCCTGGTTAGCAGGGTGATTTTTAGGTTAATTCTTAAATCCTACCACCACTTGGGAATCTCCAAGCCGCCTGTGATGCCAGGATCACCCACAACCGCTGCCAGACTGCAGCTCCGTATGTCTCCTTTTTTGGTATTTTCACACAAATTCTTCTGCTAGTTGGGGTTTAGTCCACTTCAATATCCTTCCCTTCAAGGCTCAGGGGTTCAGGATTATCTTCTGTGTCTGTGTTAATTGGTTTCCCTTTTGTTTGTCGAAGAGGGTCTGTGCAGTCTTTCTGCCTAGTCTGCCATCTTACCAGACCTCTTGGATGATGTTCTTTCTGTCATGCCACAATTCTTTGGTTTTCAGTCATTAGTATTCAATGCATTAAATCTATTCTTTAGATGGTCTCTAAATTCAGGAGGGATATATTCAGGGTCATATTTTGGCTCTCATGGACTTGTTTTAATTGTCTTTAACTTCAAGTTGAACGTGTATATGAGTAGTTGATGGTCTATTCCACAATCAGCTCCTGGCCTTGTTTGGCTGAAGATATTGAGCTTCTCCATCACCTCTTGCCACAGGTGTAGTCAGTCTGATTCCTTTGTACTCCATCTAGTGAAGTCCATCTTCACCATCCGGTGAAGTCCACATGTATAGCCACTGTTTATGTTGTTGAAAAAAGGTATTTGCAATGTATAAGTCATTGGTCTTGCAAATTCTATCATGCGATCTTCAGCATTATTTCTGTCACCAAGGCCAAATTTTCCAAGTACTAGTGATGCTTCTTTTTTCCAACTTTTGCATTCCAGTCACCAGTGATAATTAACACATCTTGATTGCATGTTTGATCAATTTCAGACTGCAGAAGTTGCAGTCTGAAACTAATACCATATCTGAAATAAAGGTCATCTATTGATTGACAATTTATTTTATCACTCATCTGCCCTCCTGAACTTCATAGTGTTTGAAGAGGAGTAAAATATAAGCTAATGATATTAGAATATGATACATGCACAGTATCAGAGGGATGTTACAAGTGTTTAAGTCAGCTAAGAATTGGGCTTCAGTCCTAGCTCTGTCTTATAATACATGTATGTTGTTATGAGTTGCTGTCAGGTCAATTCCAACTCATGGTGACCCTGCCTTGGAGAGTAGAACTGCTTCCTTGGATTTTCAAAGATGTAAACTTGGTCAAGTTTTGGTAAGTCAACACCCAACATTTACAGAAGAAGGCAGCATCCCTGCCCTTCAGGAAATTATAGGAGAGGCAGTCAAGTAAATAATTTAGAATGCAAGGTGATGATTGGTATGGCAAAGCACACTTTCTACATGAAATTATCTCTAGGTTATTTGAATATAAAATGGGACTGAAAATTTGTGACCTCTGGGAGACCAAGATAGCCTAGGGGCAGGAATTCTAGGAAGAATTAAAATCACGAAGGGTCATGTGTGCATGCTCAGGATTTGGCCTATCTCTTAAAGACTCAGAAAGCCAACAAAAGATTTTAAATAGGGGAATCAGGTTTTCATATTAGGATTTTAGGTAGAGCACTTCAGCTGCCGTGTGAGGTGTGGACGGGAGCAGATGATACTTGCTGTTGGTAAGTAAACAGTACTCCAGTTTGGAAAGAAATACAGTAAATATACAGCACTCCAGGTAAAAAAGATGAAGGCCTGAGTCTAGTATCACCAACTTGTCTCAGTTTACCCAGAACATAGGAATGAATGTCCAGCATCTCAGTTTGCTTGAACATTTTCCTAGTTTCAAAAAAAAAACTGGAAGTTCCTAGTGCCAGGTGACCCTTCCATCCCAAACAAAGCAGGATGGTTGGTCACTCCATCTGAGGCTCTTGAGGTAGGGGTGAAATGGATAGGAACACTAAGTGATATTCAGAAGGTAAAATTTATAAAACTCATAATTAGTTGGATAATGGAAAGGCAGTGAGAGAAAACAAGAAGTTGAAGACAGTAATTAGGTTTCTAGCTTCGCTGATGGATGAGCTAGTTCCTTAAGTCTAAGAGATAATGAATTTCTGCATGTACAGTCTTCCCGATCATAAACTTTTACCTCTACTTGCACCCTAGCCAGTCATATATTTTTTGTATGTCTATTAATCATTACAGTGTTCTTTCTTAATTCTATAATTTGGCTTCATTAGAATCTGAAAATATCAATACAAAGAAGTAACAATACAAAACACTCTTTTAGTAATTCTGTCTTTTGTTGGAGCTCTGGTGGCATTGTGGTTAAAGAATTGGTCTACTAACCCAAAGGTCAGTGGTTCAAACCCACCAGCTGCTCCATGGGAGAAAGATGAGAGAGTCTACTCACAAAAAGGTTTACTGCCTTGGAAACCTTACTGGGCAGTTCTACTCTGTCCTATAGGGTTGTTATGAGTCAGTATTGACTCCATGGCAGGGAGTTTGTTTTGGGTGTTTTAATGGTACAGTAAATACTTAGTAAATATCCAGGGTGGTAGGGGGAAGCAAGCTGCTTACGTAAAGCACAGATATTGGTGTTTGTATTTTTAAGATTGTTAGTAGGAGAGGACTGAATTTTATAATCCATCTCCTAGAAGTGGTCTGTTTGTTTTGACATCAAGGCATCATGACTGCTGTGGGCTTTCTGGGCTTGGTTCTCTAAATGTGTCAAGAGTATATCAATTTTAGGCTGCCATTCATCTTATGAAACAATTTATAAATGATAACATTTAGAAAAAGCCAGGGGAAGAAATGAAAGTAGCCAGTCAGCTCAGTTTTAGATTTTCAATCGGGTATTTGATAATTGTGTTGTTTTTTTCTTTTTTTCCTGGATGACGGATAACATTCTTTGATTCTTTTTCAAACCAGCTTGATTGTACAAGCCACAGATAAAGGGATACCCTCGCTTTCTGCTACAAGTGTGATACAGATACAGGTGACTGATATAAATGACAATGCCCCAGCTTTCCTTCCCTCCGAAGCAGTGGAAGTGGCAGAAAGTAAGTGTGGATATTTGGAGTAGTGGCTTTGTTTAACTTGTATAATTTCATCCACTATATTTTCAGCCTGGCACTGTATTATATATGAGTACTAATCCTCAACATGGATTGACACAGTGGCTGCAACAGTGGGCTCAAGCATAGCAAATAGTTTGAGGATGGTAGAGAACCAGGCAGTATTTCCTTCTGTTTTACATAGGGTTGCTATGAGTAGAGGTACCTAAAAACAACAGTCTTCAACAGCCATGCAAGACAGATAAGTTTTATCTTCATTTTACAGGATAGAAAATGGACAGTCAGAAGTTAAATATTAAATGTCAATCAAGTTAAATACTAAAGCTGGAATTTGCATTCAGATTAGTAGGTTTGTTGCTCATGTTCTGTCCACTATTCCACACAGCTGCCATTTGTATACAGACATTTTTAAAAAATTGAACCACATCTAAATAGCTTTTAGATCTACTCCATGAAGAAGCATATTTTGTTGACTATACACAATTCTGGGGAGCTCTGGTAGCATAGTGGCTAAGACACTTGCCTGCTAACCAGACAGCTGGCGGTTCAAACCCACCAGACACTCCTCGGAAGGAAGGTTGGGCAATCCTACTTCCGTAGTGATACTGCCTCGGAAACCCAAGGAGGGGTCGCTATGAGTCGGGGCCGACTCGACGGCACATAACAACAACAACAACATACACAATTCTGAAGTTCCTCTGAGATGCAACAATATTCTTAGGCTTAAAACTTTTGTCAGTCTTCACAGTATACTAATAATAAAGGAAATTAATTGAAAGTTGGCTGCATAAGGTGATGATTTCCCCCTACACTTCAATTATTTGAAGAAAATTTTTATTTCTTTTAATGGTAAAGGTTGAAGATGTAAAGTTCTAAGTGATACATGGGTTAATCTTAATTGATTTCACCTATACAATGACTGATCTTAAAGTGATCAGTGGACAGTGGTTGTGCTGGTAAAACCCAACCCACTTCCCTTCAGCTGAAACTGATAATAGTGGTGATCCCCCTTTCCTGCAACACACTCTCTCTCTCTCCCTTCACTTAAAATACTAAAAATATTCCTAATATTTTGTTATAGTCACTTTTCAAACAAATTATAATCATCATTGCTAATAGAGGAATATATTCCAGATATCTCTCTATATAGGGAACAACACAACAGGAGCTCTGGTAGAATAGTGCCTAAGGCATTTGACTGCTAACCAGAAGGCTGGTGGTTCATATCCACCAGCTACTCCTCGGAAGGAAGTTTGGGCAATTCTGTAGTGATATTGCCTAGGAAACCCAAGGAGGGGTCGCTATGAGTCAAGTCTGACTTGACAGCACATAACAACAACAACAACAACAACAATATTACAGGAACTCTGGTGGCATAGTGCCTAAGGCATTTGACTGCTAACCAGAAGGCTGGCTGTTCAAACTCATCAGCCGCTCCTCAGAAGGAAGATTGTGCAAATATTATATTCTACCGATAAAAAAAATATATGTTCTTCTGTTTTGCCTCTTACCTATTTGCTTTATTTTCATTTACCTTTATTGGAAATACTATTTTAAATGTATACATTAGTGTTAAAATGCAAAAATGGGCCAAGTATATCACAAGAACAAGCTATATAATAAAAATATGCTGAATGCATCTAATAAAAATAAGATGTGGTGCACATCAAGAATATTCAAGCTAGAAATCTGAAATTCATGGGGTTCATATATAGTGGAGCTATTTTGATTATCTTACCATGTTCCTTCCACCTGCACCATACCTGTAAGCTTAAAGACAAAGTCCCTTTCATGGGCAGGTTAGTGGGGAGAATATAAATGGTGAATGACACATACAGCTTGTCAGGAGACAATTTGTGGGTTTGTGTGTGTGTGTGTGTGTGTGAACATTATTAGAGATTTGCTTTCATCACTAGTGCTATGTTTACTTTGTCTTTTTATAGGCTTGATAACTTTAAATTTGGATTTTAAGAGAAGGAAAACATGTATGTGCTATTCCAAAAGAAATATTACAAAAATAATTAACAAGGAAATAAGTATTCGAACTTCAATATATGAATATTTCTCTGTGTATTTTGCCTACTTTCAAAAGTTTATACTTTGTATTAAAGTTTTAAATGATAGCATTCCTGCCATTCACCAATTTCAGGAATCATTTTAATACAGAAACTATATAGGGCAAATAAGTGGTTTAGAATGGTTCTCAGTCCTAAAATCAATTGTGTTGTAAGCATATGATGAAAAAAATGTAATATAAATATTGAATATACCTTATCTCCTCAATTTTCTATTCAGTGGTAAATTTTTGCTTTTATTGGACTCATAAATTCTTCAGAGTTTTTGTTCATTTCATTACAAGCTATGCATGAGAAATCATGCTAAGAGAAAGCAAATCTTGTTGGATTTAAAAATGCTTAGACTGAACTATTAAAGACATGTATTTCAAAGAATATTCTTTAATGGTGGTTGACATTGGTCATGATTATTTCAGATTCTTTGCCTGGTGTAATTGTAACTCGAGTATCAGTTCATGATGTGGATTTGAATCCAGCTTTCATCTTTAGTTTCATCCAAGAGAGTAATCCTGGAGCCAAGTTCGCTATTGATCAGCACACTGGACTAGTGACGCTGATGAAAACATTGGATTTTGAAGAAGCTGCTGAATATGAACTGCTCACACAAATTTCTGACTCAGTGTACCACACAGAGGGAGTGCTCCTGGTCCACGTGTTGGATACCAATGATAACCCACCAGTGTTTTCTCAAGATTTCTATCAGGTAAAGAATTAGAAAGATGCTGAAACCAAGGCCAAAACTAGAAAGGATAATCCAAGATGTTAATTGTTGACAGACAACTGAGGGAAACAGTATTCACTATCTTTAGTGCCTAAGTTAATGGTGTGGATTTTATATTTAATGTCAGTCAAATGATAAAGAAATTTAAATACATATAAACCAAAAACCAAACTCACTGTTGAGTAGATTCAACTTGTAGCTTTTCCTCCTTGGGTTTCTAAGGCATTAAGTGTAGTACATGTATGTGTCATTATTTTTTTAGTTTTTAGATATCAGAGTCCAATTGCTAATAATAATTGCAGCTTGCCTAACATTTGCAGAGCCACAGATAAGACATTACAGTTTGGTCTGTCTACAAATAATTCAGGGAAATTCTTTCTTTTCTAGGCATATTTTTGGAATATGTTGATTAAAATCTTGCAGAAACAAATTATGAATAAAACTGTAGAGTGGTTAATTGGTGTTTTTAGAGCCTAGTATATGTTTCTAGAAGTAAGAACAATGATAGCATTCAACTAAGAAACTTGATTGCAGCTAACAGCAACAAGCACTTGGAAATGGGCCTGAGGACTCTTAAATGTAGCAAATGCAAGATGTAAGTGTAAACACAGGGGATGGGAAACTATCCTAAGTAATGAACTGCTGTGAAGGCTTGTTTGAATTATTTTTTATAGCAGTGAATGTATCAATTCTTTTCTACTGCATAGAAGTAATTTAGAAAAAAATGTTTTCCTAATAAAAATTGAAACAGAATGAAATTAATTTTTTCTTTGTTTTTCTGAATCCCATGGCTGCTAGCACAATTTTTTTTTTTAACACATCAATTCTTCACATTAATACATGCAGAAAGCCAGGGTCTGTGTACAGTTTCCATCATCTAAATGAATAAAATCTCATATTCTGTCCCTGTTTATGAAAATATCTTTAGTCTTTAAGCAAAACGTTCTTTATTTTTCATCAGGCCACGGTTCCTGAGTCAGTATCTGTGGGGTACCCAGTGTTGACCGTGTCAGCCACAGACTTGGACAGCAATGAGAACATTTCCTACAGAATCCTTTCCTCTTCTAAGGAATTCTCAATTGACCCTATGAATGGTGAGTTATTTAAGGTGGCTTTTGTATTCAGTGTTTGATTTACAGAGAGGAAACTAGAAATAACCCTTCCCAAATGTTCTTAAAATAGTTTCCTATCCCCACCCCCTGGAATTATAGATACCACCATCTTATTTCTCTTCACATCAGATGTTGAAGTAGCAAATCTCAGTGTTATTTCTGTTCCTCAACACCTCAACCATGGCTGGAAAGTAAAAGGAATCAATTAAATGCTAGTATATGCTCAGATACACGGAGACCTCAAGATAGTAAGCACTCTGTTTAATCAGTCCAGTCAAACAGAATTCAAGTAATTATCTGAGGCCTCAACTAATATCAAAATTAAGTCTGAGGAATTATTTTCGTAATGAGGACTTAATGTTACTAAAGTTTGAAATCCTTTTTTTTTTTTTCAAGCCAAGAAAAAAAATTCAGTAATAGCATCATATGTTCAATAAGGACAATAAATATTTAAAAAGGGGAATTGTTTGAGCTTCTCTACCAAGTAAAAGGCATTGTGGTGCTTTGGTTTATTTGACATATTTTTCCAAGGCTCTTTGTATTCTCATCAGAGAGCAAGACATTTGTAGTTACGAAATACATTTAAAGTCCAGATTAGAGTGGATAAACGCGGATAGAGAAATTTTGACAGTGTGTGGACATTCAACACTGAATTTGATGAAAAGGAATAATTAGCACAACACTGTTCCTAGAAGAACAAGCTCTAGGAAATCTCATTTAAAAATTAACCTCTTGATTATCTGAAAGGAGAATGTAGTCACAAGTTTCAACATGAAGCCCATTAGCTGTGTTTGATCAGGGAGATGTAACAGAATGCTGCCACATGGCCTGTGGATGACTGGTTGCTATATGGGAAAAAACAAGTTAGAAGTCTGTTTTCTCCCCTCTCTTTCTCTTCCCTTTTGTCCCCTTCTTTCCCCTCCCTTCTCTTCTCCTTATCTATCCACTCCTCTCATCCCCTCCCCTCTTCTTTGTTCTGCTTTTTGTGTAATGTTTATAAGATATTAAGTATTATCAAGCCGTTTTAGTTCATGGTGAAACTTTAACTGAAGTGTGGCATTTAAATGTCAGCATTCTGTATTTTTTTCTTTTTTTGATGACCATACTTATAACACGTTTTTCTTATAAAATACTATTACACACATATTAATAAAAAGAACATATTGTTTGTTATATTTGAAACAGTAACATGCATGAAGTATATTTCATCAATAAAGGAAGAATTCATTTTCTGAAATAATGAAAAACTTTTGGAGAGACAGCTCTGTAATTAAGCAATAGTTGTAACTCTGCATTATCATATTTCCTACTTTCATTTGGCCAGAGTGAGTGTCAACCAATATTTCCAGAATAAATATCCTTATGCCAGAATGTCTCTATACAAGTACTTATGGGTAGTAGGATAATGTATCAAATTTTCCAATAAGAATACATTTTCTTAAAAAATTGTAATGAAACAACTTACTGTACAAAAGAAAAATTAAGAGAAATTTGTGGTATAAGCAACCTTAAGTAGCATACATATTTCATAAAGTGAATACCATAGATATTATTTCTTTATGTCAAGTGTTACAAAAATATAATAATTTTAAATTTCTGCTTCATGTTACTGTTGATTCTCATTTAGATAACAAATCTAACAAAAACCTAAAGATACTAGAAGATATTCAATAAATACTTATTCACTAAATGGGTAATGAAAATTTAATTTCACAACAACATTAAAGTAGTATGTCTTGTTTTTCAGGCTCAATATTTACCATCCAGCCTGTATTACTTCTGAATAAAATATCAACAATCCAGTTTCTTGTGGAAGCCAGTGATGGTGGACATCCTGAGCTGAGGACTCTTGCATTAGTGGAGATAGAAATACAAGATATGAACAATTATGCTCCCAAGTTTACAGTAGAATACTATAACCTCAGCTTGAGTGAAGATGCCCTAATTGGAGGCACACTTCTCACATTATCAACCTTTGACCATGACTGGACCCTTGAAAACACACATGTTGAATATTCTGTCATCAGTGGTAATTCACAGAAACATTTCCATATGGAAACTAGTTTATTTCATCCAGAAGATCCTTACACTCAGGTTGGTTATCTTGTGTTGATTCACAATTTGGACAGAGAAACAATTTCCAGTTACCAGCTTGTTGTTCTAGCGTCTGACCATGGCTGCCCTTCATTGAGTTCCACAGCCGTAATATCAATAGAAGTACTTGATGTCAATGATAATCCACCTAAATTCACCCACCAGGAATATCATGCACATGTCAAGGAAAGTATACCTTTAGGGAGTGACATCACTGTGGTCTCAGCAAATGACTGTGATATGGGTTCAAATGCTGAAATAATCTACCAACTAATCTCTGGAAATGAGAAGGGGAATTTTCAACTAGAAGAAAAAACTGGAGTTCTCTATTTGATTAAACCTCTGGATTATGAGGAAACAATAAAGTTCACTTTAACGGTCCAAGCTTCAGATGATGAAAAGAAATATTTTTCTTTTGCAATTGTGTTTGTCAATGTCTTGGATGATAATGACCACACACCTCAGTTTATGTTCCCAAGAGTGAACTGTGTTGTTCCAGAAAATCAGCCTATATCTTCTACTATATGTTCTGTAAATGCTTTGGATTTTGACACTGGTCCTTATGGAGAATTGACATATTCTATTTTATCATCCTGTTTTAGCACACATGGACAACCTCTTGATGATGATCTCTTCCTTATTGATCCTTTTACTGGGGATATCCAAGCTAAGCAAATCCTTGACTATGAACTTGAAAATAAATACTGCATCACAATTCAGGCAAAAGACAAAGGTGATGCAACAGCCTCATTAGTGGTGTGGGTAGATATTGAAGGGATAGATGAATTTGAACCCATTTTCACACAAGATCAGTATTTTTTCAACCTTCCAGAAAAGAGTAAAGTAAGACAGTTGATTGGCAAAGTGGAAGCCTCAGATGCTGATGCTGGTATCGATGGAGTTATTCTTTACTCCTTGGGAACCTCAACTCCTTTCTTTTCAGTAAATAAAACTAATGGAAATATCTATTTGACTAGAGACCTTTCCCTAGTAAAAAGTCAACTCGGCAAAGAAGACACCATTGAAATGAACGTAATTGCTCACAGCCCCAAGCTGCATTCCAAGTTTACATCTTGCACTGTTTTTGTGAATGTGTCATTTTCCCCTGAAGAAAAACACTCGGCAATATTGGCCCGAAGTTTTTCAATCAGCCTTACTGTCTCCTTTCTACTGTTTCTGTTGCTGGTATTCATTCTGATTACACTAGTTTTAAGACATAAACAAAAAAATTCAGTAAGTAAGTATGAGGAAAAGAAAACCTCATCTTCTTTAGATGACAATTCGAAATTGGCTAGTGATACCAGCATGCTCACAACCTTCCAGAAAGTGAATGATTATAGTAATGAAGTGGTACCCATGGATTCCATGCCTGAATGGTTGAGTTTAATAAGCATGATGGAGAAGGACATAGTACAACTGTACAGGCATTCAAATTCCAGTGGCCATTGTTCTGTGGAAGGAGAAACTGCAGAAGATAAGGAAATTCAGAGGATAAATGAGCACCCTTACAGGAAGGACTGTGGGTCAGCCCTGAGTGATCGAGATTCCAGAGTGCCAGACTCTGGAATCCCAAGAGACTCAGACCAGCTCTCCTGCTTGTCTGGAGAAACTGACCTGGTGGTCACTGTGGAAACAGCAGAAACGAGCCATACATTAGAAGAAGGAAATGGAGGAGGAGGCTGTGGCACAGCCTACATTCAAAATGAAGTGTTATCCCACACAGTTCAGAAGAGAGGGATAAAAGAGGACGTCCTGCCTGATGTCAGAAAAGATTACATCTTCATTTCAGATGAGCAGGAGGCAAGAGGTGCAGCTCCTTCAAGCAAGATAACCTCTGATCACAATGTAAAAGGCACTGGTACCTGGGATCATCTCCTCAGTTGGGAACCCAAGTTTCAATCTCTTGCCTCAGTATTTAATGATATTGCAAAACTGAAGGATGAACACTTACGTGTGCCTGGTGCTCCAAAAGAGAACAAATCTTTTGTTTTTCCACCACCTTTGATAACAGCAGTAGCTCAGCCTGGAATTAAAGCAGTTCCACCAAGAATGCCAGCCATAACCTCAGGGCGGGTATTTCCAAAATACCCACGCTCCCCTGTTCTCTACCATAGCCATTCTCTGCCAGAAGCCATGACTCCCAGTTTTTCTCCATCTCTTTCCCTATTGACCATACAGACTCCTGCCATGTCTCCACTACTGTCAAATACAGAATTCATAGGAACCCATGTAAGTGCTACGTGCTATGAACAGAAAGCAGAAGATGAAATTCAAATATAAAACAATTGCAATTCCAGGCACTTGTATGCCATCAGTCTTGAATGACTGAATAAAACCTCCTCAAGCAAGCACTCCAAGATTGGTAGATTCTGATCTAAGAGTGAGTGATCTAATTTAGTCAGGAGTTTCTGGAACCCACCGTTTTAAGTATCTCAAGTTTCCTCCAGCCTTAAAGAGAAGTTATTCCCTCTTTCAACCTTTATGTTTTGCTCAGGACTCAAATTTGCATATATCAAGTAGCATATATTTTGTTGTACCTGGTTTTCTGTATGATTAGCTTTCCAAAGGAGACAGTGAGCTATACTGACTGCCAAGCTGTTTATGTAAAAATAAATAGAAATAAAATATGGTGCTCTCTGGTCACACCACTGCTGGTTAGACTTCTGTATTTAAAAAAATTAGTAAAAATTGAATTAGGAATGAGGTTAGGACAGAAAGCCCAGAGAAGGGAAATCGAGAGGGGCAAAGTTAAGTTTTAAGGATAATGCTAAGTTCTGTAGATCTGGTATATTTAGAGATACATTTCTTCACATTCCCAATATACCACACTTGTGGGGTTTAATCATAATTTGAATTTCAAACTGGTGTATTTTGAAGAGTGTTCTGGTACACTGTGGTTAAAGCATTGGGCTGTTAACCACAAGGTCAGCAGCTCAAACTCACCAGCTACTATGTGAGACAAAGATGGGGCAGTCTGCTTCCATAAAGATTTACAGCCTTTGAAACCCTGTGAGACAGTTCTGTTCTATCCTGTAGGCTTGCTATGAGTTGGAAGCAATTTGATGGCAGTGGAATCTGGATCTTTTGAAAATCTGATGAGAATTAAGAATAAAGTTTTCATAACTCTGTGCCAATAGGTAGAAAAAATTAAAAACTTATTACTGATTAAATGAAACAGAAATGCTTGTTCTTGTTAGAGGGCTATGATTGGTAATTAGCAGTACATATGTAATTGACTGCCACCTAAGATATGTTTCCTTGGCCTTCTTTGCAAATAGAATGACAAGTTTTTCAGTACTCTGTCTTGTGACAGAATATCTACTTCCGCAGTGATACTGCCTCAGAAACCCAAGGAGGGGTCACTATAAGTTGGATCTGACTCGACAGCAGTGACTTTGGGTTTTTTTTTTTTTTTTTAAGCTTTGAAGATGAATTTATGGGAATGTATTCCTTTTATTTTATTCTGGATACAGTTATTTTGGGTAAGAAATAATTTATGCACTCAATGTCTGTTAAAGAGTTTTTTTAAAATAAAATTATGTTATTAATTATAAATTCCATAGAGTAATTTAGCAATATATTTTCAAGTGAAGATTTTTATATAAATTTTACTACTAGAGGTTAAGAAAGAATGAGAGTCGGAAGACTTTCTTCCATTTGCTTATTCTCTTGTTTAGCTTTAACTGTTATTGTGGAGTAGTTAGACAACATGGTGAAAATAATTCTGTTTGGCATAGCTATTGTTTTAGAAATATAATAGTGCTCAAATATAATGATATAGTTTTCTCTCTGTGAGCCTGAGAGTCCATCAAAGATTCTTATCTCTTTCAGGAAAGCAGAGATCATCCTGATGTTAGTGATCAGGTTTTAGAATCATAGTTTTGGAATTCTACTATAAAAACTCTTGTGCTTTCCTCAGCAGTTAGGGTAGGCTTCTGTTTCAGGAATATTTTTTCTTAATTTTTTTTTTTCCATAAGCCTCAAGTTATATGAAATAGCTGGTTTCTCTTTATTGGAAAAAATTGTAGGAAGCAGTTTTGTAGATGAATTATTCTAAGACTTTCTGTCCCAACATTATTAATTATATATCTTTGCTGACTCTTAAATGGAGAACAAGCATATAAAACCTCTGAGTCAACAATCGACTCTGCAGCACCTAACAACAACAACAAAGAAAATTACATGAAACATTAAGAGTTTGGGATAAGCCTAGCATCCTAGGGAAAGTCTGGTGTGAAGTATTTAAACATTATAAGACTGATATATGTCTTCCCTTTTCCTCAGGAAATCTGGGGAAGAAGAATTCATGACTTTTTAATAAACACATTGAAATAATTTTAGAATTTCAATATTTATTATATCTTTGACTCCCTTCAAAAAAGACTACTTTGAGCATATCAGAGAAGTACTATAGTATTTTTTTTCTAGTTGTATGTGGAAATTTTGTTTTGCAACATAATTATTTATAGAAATTAAGACTATTTTGTTGGTTTTATCTTAAGTTGTTTCTACTTTTACTTGTGTTTAAAAGCAATTATCCATAATTCAGTTCACCAAGTTATTTGCCTGTGATTTATTACTCATTTTGGACATGATTCTGCATTTTTTCTAGATGTTGCATAAGAACAGAGACATGAAGTATTTAGAAACTGTTCCTTACCAATGTCTAGTGGATTTTTAACTGATGACTTTATTAATACTGTATCCAACACCAAAACATCACCAAACAACTGCTACAAGTGGGGTTGAGGGTAAAAAAATGTGAACAGGCTGGTTAACTGTTTGCAGTAAATCATGTCAACCCTTTCAACTAGAGTGCTCTTTTCTTAAGCAAACAATATAATTTGTACGGTTTTCCTTCAAGCTTAATATTAACTTACTTCATATATTCTGTATTACTTTTCTGATCTGCACACTGGCTTTAACACTCTGGAGGGGGTACAGAACTTGTTAGTGGAAAATCATATTAAGCCCCAAATTCATAAGCTATAAAATAAAAGACAGTTGTCTCTTGTGGAATTTTGGATGCCTGAAATTCTGGACTTTCTTATTGGCAGCCTTAAAAATACTGGTGTTAATCAGTACCAAATGGATATCAAAATTCCACGTCCTAGTAGTAATCATTGAATTGGCTTCCAAAACAGATTCCTGGGCAAATACAGTTGAAAATGCTGTATCTTTAGAGAATCAATTATTTAAATATTTACATGTATACCTATATTTAGTCTATAACTGATGCCCATCTAAGAGAGGAGATGTTTCTCAACACCTATCGCCTCAGTTTCAGAGCCCTCCTTGCTGTAATGAAAATTAATTCTTAATTTTAAAGTCGTTATTTTCATGCAAACATAGATTCTGTTACTTTTCCTTTTGTTTTGTTACATTGTCTTAGACTTACTTTAACTTTTAAGTAAAAACAAAAAAATACTAAGAAGATTTATGATAGGGATCCATTCCAAAAGCAATTACATATATGGAGTGAAAATGGTTCTAGGAAGTTTATTCCCACATGATATTATGGATAAGCTCATTAGATTTCTTTTCACAGCATGTTTTAGTTGAGCTCAAAAGTGTAACACCATCTGTTTAGTTATAACTGAGGAGAGTCAGAATGAAAGGTCATTCTGTATGAGAGCAACACCAGGACCAGTACAGTTGCAGAAACTTTTGCTTATGACTAAAACCAGGTATCCTAGGGAAAATCATGCAGGGAGGTTTTGCCTGTTACAGAAGAGGGAAGGAGGGGAGGAAGAGAAAATGGAAGATTGGATCTGAAGGAATTGTTTAAGGCACAGGTAGAAATAACCAAGAAGGAAGAAGGGTAAGGACTTGTGTTAGCAATTTTTAATGTAGAGAGATTTTGTTGAGTCATTTGCTCTTCACATATTCCTTCTTTTGAGGGATATATTTTCCCCTCCTTCCTTTCTTTTCCTCTCAATCTCTCCATCATTGTCAGACAATTTACATTGATGAAATTGTGAACATAAGGCTAGGTGACCATGACTAGATTGCATTTGACTAGGGGAACTTGAATTTATTGAATCATTCACCTGAATTTCAGGAATAAAAAGTAGGAATGATTCCCTTTTTTCCTCACTACATAACTGGCATTGAGAGTGTCACAATTTTAACTAAGTTATTTTGCACATATACCAAGTCATGCAAATTTATATGGAATGTTAGTACCTAGTCTTTACTTATTTTTTCCCCTGGTAGCTAGTTTTTTGTTTGTTTGCTTTAATGAGTGCTTGTTTGTTAGTTTTGATTTATATTAAAACATATGTCTTGTATAACTTTAAAAGCTACAGTATAACCCATAGGATTAGGGCTTTATCCATAGTTTGTTCTCAAATATTGTTGGTTTCTATTTGAATTCTTGACTGCTAACCAGAAGGCTGTTGGTTCAAACCTACCAGCCACTCCTCAGAAGGAAGATGGGGCAATCTACTTCCACAGTGATACTGCCTCGGAAACCCAAGGAGGAATCGCTATGAGTCGGGTCTGACTCGACGGCACATAACAACAACAACAACTATTTGAATTCTAGAGATAAAAAAATTATTTTTATTCCATATAGATCAAGGATATTTGTCTATTAGAAGCAGAAATGTGACAATTTTAGAAAGATTCAAACCCCGTAAAAAATGGAGTACCAACCCATATCTTTCTCACGTAAACTTGGCACTTGGCTGTTTTGATGACAATTAGCACTTCCTACTGTTTTGGTCCACATAACTTTTTTCATTTCATCCAATGCATTTGCTAAACCAAAACTGTGACATGAATAATAGAGAGGGGGAAGCATGCCAAATAAATAGCAGATGCACAAGCACATCTCTTGAATAAGAAAGCATTATTTTGGTTAGGAAACTAAATAAGTGAAATTTCATTGTGAGATAGTAAACCCTCAGGCAAAGTCTTGGTCTCCACTTGTATTATGAAGTATAGATGGTTTTCAGAATGAATGAGTACATGTGTGAATGGGTGCAGAGGGTGCTATAATGTGATGGTGTGACACATAGGCCACCCACGAAATGAGAATTTGGGTTTAGTTCTATGATTTTAGCCAATCACAGAGCAGAAAGAAAGAATAAAAATTGTATCAATATATTATGGACTATCTTGGATACTAAGTACAAGAAGTAGAAATTCCTTCAATAATCTGATTTCCTCTCTCCCTCACAAAATACATACATACATACTGAGTTCCAGATGTAATAGAAAGAGGTTATAGATGACAGTCAAAAACAAATCATTTGAGCCATGACATTACATGTCCA